CACACACATATAATATCCATAAATCTTACAGCAGAATCTGGGCTTTGAGGTCAAAGAGACTCGGGATTGAATTTCTGTCTCCCGTGTACTGTGGGACCTCAGTCACTTCACTTCACAGCTCCGAGTTGATCATCTCAGCCCAGCTCGACCAATCAGCATCAACCTGCATGAGGGAACTGTCTCCATGTGTCCCTCCTACCCCACAGCTGGACTGCCTGTCTGGCAGGTGCATCTTCAGACTATGGCCCAAATTTCAGTTACTGAGCACCAGTAATGACTGTTGCCATAACATGAGGTCCAGGCATAGTGTGATATAGCAACAGCAACTTTGGTTTTCTGTGAACTGCTCATTTCTTTTTGCAAGCACAATTTTTTTTTTGTCTTTTTGGTTGTGAGCCTTAGCTAGCTAAGCCATCTCTCCAGCCCTGTGGCATACTTCTTATTTTATTTTACAAATAAAAATTGTGTGCGTGTGTGTAATGGTATGCAGCATGAGTCTGTGTGCATGTGAGAGAGTGGGTGCATCTGGAGGTCAGGCGGATCTGTGGAGTCAGTTCTGGGCTCTGGGGACAGAACTCACATTATCAGGCTTGGCAGCAATGTCCTTACCTACTGAGCAACCTCACCAGCCCACTGCATTGTTTTCAAACATATATACGGTGTGCACTGCTGCACATACCGTGTTTTTGGTAGTGAGAACACTGAGAGTCTATTCTGGAGATTGTTAGACTACAATAATACATTGCTGTTAATGGAACTGACATCCCAGCATCACGGGTCCCAGCATCAAGGGTCCTCAACACATCTGCACCAGGAGCAGGAGAGTGTGGTAACAGCTGGTAGCTATGTCTGCATGCTGGATCTGCTGAAAGGCCCAGCTTCCTTCCACAAATACAAATGAAAAATTATTCTAGCTCAGACAACTTGAAACAAGCAAGGTTCAAATCAAATGTAAATTTCTGCCTTAAGACGATATATTTAAAAAAGACATTAGTGCTGCCTGGCTATAGGTCCAGAGCTCAGCAGGGAGAGGCAGGATTACAGGATTATCAGGAGTTCAGGGCCATCCTCAGCTACTGAGTGAGTTCAAGGCCAGCCTGGGGTGGGGAGGGACCACTCACAGTAGGAAAGAGGAAGGAAAATAAAGAGACGCTTTGATGCCTTCTGAGAAGGGGAAAACCGTGTGGATGGGACAGAGGCCACATTTAGTTCTAATAGGCTAATATACTGGTCACTTCATGCTTTTCAGAAAGTTTTCTGATTTCTGGATTTGATTTCATTAAAATTAAAATCTACTGATCTGGGATTGAAGAGACAGATACGATGTTAAGAGCACTGGCCGCCCTTCCAGGATACGGGTTCAATTCCCAGCACCCAGAAGGCAGCTCACAATTGTTATCTCCAGCTCCAGTAGATCCGGTATCATCTCCTGGCTTCCACAGCACCAGGCATACATGTGGTGCACAGAGTTACATACAGCCAGAACACTTATGCATGACTTTAGTCTCAGAATAGCCTGGTATAAATAGTGAGTTCCAAGCCAGGCAGGGGTAGGTACAGAGTGAGACCTCATCACTAACTAACTAAATAATAAATCTGCCCATCTAAAGATTTCCTTAAGCCGGGCGGTGGTGGCGCACGCCTTTAATTCCAGCACTTGGGAGGCAGAGGCAGGCAGATTTCTGAGTTCGAGGCCAGCCCGGTCTACAGAGTGAGTTCCAGGACAGCCAGGGCTACACAGAGAAACCCTGTCTCGGAAAAAAAAGAAAAAAACTAAAACAAACAAACAAACAAACAAAAAGATTACCTTAAGTGTCAACTCATACTTTCTAATATATGTGTAGATATGCATGAATCTATGTACTCTCATTTATATATGTATGCATATGTACACATACATACACATATGTATATGTATGTACGTATGTATATATATATATATATGTGTGTGTGTGTGTATGTATTTATATGTGATGGTTTGAATGAGAATGGCCCCATATATTTAAACAGTCTTATATATTTAAACAGCTGGTCCTCAGTTGGTGGGTATTTTTGGATGTTCAGGAGGTGTGGCCCTGGTGGAGAGTGTGTATCTCTGGGGTGTGGCCTTGGTGGAGAGTGTGTATCTCTGGTGTGGCCCTGGTGGAGAGTGTGTATCTCTGGGGTGTAGCCTTGGTGGAGAGTGTGTATCTCTGGGGTGTGGCCCTGGTGGAGAGTGTGTATCTCTGGGGTGTGGCCCTGGTGGAGAGTGTGTATATCTCTGGGGTGTGGCCCTGGTGGAGAGTGTGTATTTCTTGCGTGGGGCCTTGGTGGAGAGTGTGTATCTCTGGGGTGTGGCCCTGGTGGAGAGTGTGTATCTCTGGGGTGTGGCCCTGGTGGAGAGTGTGTATTTCTTGCGTGGGGCCTTGGTGGAGAGTGTGTATCTCTGGGGTG